CGTCTTCGCCCCCAGCCACAGACACGCGATAGTGCCGCCGCCCGCGCCGCCGCAGCCTCAGGAAGCTCTCGTCGTACTGCGGCATGCTGCTGCTGATGCCCTTGCTCCGCTACCTGCGGCGCTCGGCGTGTACACGCCCCCACGGCACTATCCACCTGTTCCGGCCCTGTACGACTCTTCGCGCGGTATCGCTTCCTTCAACTCTTTCCACTCTCACTCCCGAAAACTAATTTCATCTATCGTTTACGCTCCTGTAGCACACACACCGTCCAGTATCAACTTGCTTTTAGATTATTTTCGTGTTATCTTTCACTCGGAAGGTACGATTGTCTCTTTGAACAATGTTTCACAACCTGATTCTCCTTTTTAATCTCTACTGCGGTATGTCATCAGTTTACGCACAACATTCTATTCCAACTGTACTGTAGACTATTTGGAAAGTCTCGTCGTTTTGCTAAAGAAACAAATCTTCCCCAAAACATTAAAGTTAGCACATCCTACAGGTTCTTGTCACACGAGTTACTTTTGGGCTCTACCAAACAACACGTATCTCACAGATCATATAATGCAACAATAACCATCGTTTTCTGTTCTCATCACTTCTTTCTCAAAGTCCGATTAGGAGACACGTCTTTTGTCTTAGCAATTGGAATCTCACTGATATGATGGCAGTTCAGAGAACTCTCGAGTGACAAAGCCACGCTCAACTTATTACTCACACGGGAAAATGATAAAAGGGCGCACAGTGACGCATTTTTCAGACAGTTAAAATTCGCAACTTTCGCAGTTCACATTTACTATTTCAAAGTATCTCGAACACGAATTTTTCACTGAAATCACAAAACGAGTCCCTCCGGTAAACGTCTAAAAGAGACTGTCAGATGGACACAATTGCCCGGTTCTGCGAAAGCAAAAAGGTCGGCTGCTTCTTCAAGAAATACAATTTTGAAATTCCCCCTCTCCTCATTGCTGAGTTATCTACTCCCGTGCCTCTAAACGCTGCAGGCCCCACTGCGAACGCAACACACGCTTCTAAAATAAATAGCATTACGTGGAAACAAAACCAAATTTAATACAAAACATCCATTGAGGGTAATTGCTGCTCAATTTTTCTCTCATAGCTTCCGTAGGTGGCGCAATCATGATCAAATAACCCGACAGATTCCGCGTGATTTCAAAATATTCTTAATCCGCGAAAGAAAACACAGTTCGACGGCGATCTCAGCAAAGGCGAAGGATGGCACTGCAGCGATCGGCGCCGCGCACAGCACTGGCCACCGCCGATCACCCTCTATTTACAAATGGTCTATGAATAACACGGTGGAGCTTGTCTTCAAGTGCTGTTGCTAAAAATACGAACTCGCGATAAACATGTCCCTAAATCATGAGAAGCAATTCCGACTTGACGACAACGGGTTTTGACAATCTGCTCATCGGCGCAGTGTTTTTTTTTTTATCCTTCGGTTATCTCTATTATAGTGGAGGATTATTATAGGACTGTTGACACTCAAATTCATATGTCACACTCCTGAAAAAATAATGGGGAAGTGACAAACAGCCGGTCAGTCATTATCAGTCTACTCGATAACGAAGTTTGTTTAGTAGTAGAGGATTATTGCAATACAGTTGACACTCAAATTCGTTTGTCACAATCCAGAAAAAAAATAATCGGAAAACATGTCAAATGGTTGGCCGCACATTATCAGTCCACTAGGTAGCGAGGACACTGCACATACGAGTATCACGGCCTCGGACAGTCCCGCACAAGCCTCTGCTCCGCGGTCGAGCAGCCTTGACAACGCGCGCGGCCCGACACACGCCGACGACATTCCGACGCCCCGGACGCCAATCGGCGACGGCTGGACCGCGCGCGGCGGAGTCTGTCCCTGCGGTCCGCGGCGTTCGCACTGACCACCGCCCCGCGCGCTCGCACCTCGCGCGGTTTATTTCGAGGAATTTTGGCTCCGGGTTCGACTCGAGGCCTTGGCCCTGTTGGGAGAGCGGGGCGCGCACACGCTACAGAATTAGCATTGTACATGGGACACGCGCGTAACGATGCGGCATCCACAAACAAACTATCGATGATGCCACGCGTCGATGTTAATACATCGCCCAAAAACCGCATCGATGTTTGAAAGCTGGTTTAGTAACCTCTAACATTAAATTCGTGTTCAACAAAATTTAATTTGACAGTGGACTTGTATATTCATTTCTAGTTTAAATTTAACGAAATCAAAGTTATAAAACGCCTCTCCAAATGCGAAATACGACATAAGATGAAGGAAATACCAAAGCATCAGGATTATCTCGAGCGAGAGATGGTCTGCTCGATAATAGTGGCACAAACAGCGAGCGTTTGGTTTGAACACACAAAACAGACCGTGATACCATCAGTTTTTATTTAATATTTTAACTTCGACGAAATTGGTATTTCATCCATTAACAAATAATAGAAAACGTAAAAACATCGATGTTCAAAAAACATCGGCTTCAATAAACCGATGTTTTGAAAACATCTGTCGCATCCACGCGTGTTCAGCCGGCTACTAACCGAGCCCGCCCCTCCGTTCGCGACAGACTCGGGCCCCCTGCCGCGGCGGCAACACGCAGCCGACTCCAGGCCGACTCGACAGGACCTCCTGGGGCGAATGGATTTCATAGCTAGCATGCACACGGCCTGCATGACCCGCGTTCGATCAGCGACACTGTATAACCTCCTTGAACTTCACACTTCGAAGTTTTGCTTTCACTACCTATTAAGTAATATGTTTAATATATTCCTCCAGCGATCAAACATATATTTACAATGAAGCAGCGAACACAACTGACAACCTGAAAAGTAAATCAATTTGTCCCCGTGGAAATGAAAAACGCATTCACGAGGACGTTTCTCGTTTTCAAATCGACTTCAGTACTGATACAATAAAAGAAAATTACGCAATACATGTACACTATCAATTATTTGTCTTTAGAAAAATAAATGACAAAAATTATATTTTCAAGTAACATTTGCAATTCAGATGTCTCGATAATTAAAATTAAAATTATTGCCAAGACAATGTACGAAATATTATAAATCTTTATTGCCCAACAAAACACAACACAAAGCAACTTTTGGATTAAATTCACTTGACCTATCGAAATCACGAACACAACCCAACAGTCTGCTGCATTAGTTCACGTAGTTTTCATGTAAGATAACGAATGCGTCTTGTAAAGATGCAGCTTCTAATAGAAACATCACAGAATTTACTGAATAAAACACAAAAACATAGCGGGGAGACGCTGACCATCAAATAATCAGAATAACATACAAGTGCATTTTGGACAGCAAAGGTGGGGTTGCAATAGCTTGTCACATACCTGATGCATTTTTATCCGATTTTGGCGTTGCCGACATATCTGAGCCCCCAACTGAGTCACAAAATGTTTCAGAGTTGATGAAAACATAACCGAAACATTACATTATGCGAATTTCACTAAATGTCAACAGTAACTTCACCGATTTCAACCATGGTTGTCACCCATCTTTTAATTCGCGCTAATGTTGCGCTACCAAGCGGTAAAACATCACAGAAAACAAAGCAGCAGCGCCAGCGCTCTTGCCGACATCACGGTTCCGTTTGACAGCTCTCAGCTGTGTTGGATGGACTAGTGAGTACATAGGTGTTTAATTCTTGAGTGATTGCATGAAATCTTTTAGTTGTTGGTCTTGTAGATCTATGATTTCACATTTCTAGGTTGTGGAAGTCTTCGTGAGGCAGTGAGTGGATTTGTGCTGTACTCTAAACGATGGGCAACTCAGGTTTAAAACAACATTACGAAACAGCGAAGAAGACTGGAGTGTTGAAAATATCCCAAGAGAAACTTACAGAATTTCCTTCAAATTTGAAGCAGTTAGAGTCTGTTCTACGTACTTTGGATTTATCAGATAATAAATTATCTACTTTACCCTCTGATATAGGTTCTTTTAAATTACTTAAGCATCTAAATATTAATAAAAATAGACTTGAATCACTACCTGTGGAAATCGGGAATCTCACAAAACTTGAAAGTTTATCTGTGTGCTCCAATAAGTTAACTACACTTCCTTCAGAAATTAGTAAGCTATTAAATTTAAAACAAGTGTATCTTAGTGATAATGCTCTTAGTGAATTTCCCTTAGTGTTTTGCAAAATTCGTCATTTAGATGTACTAGATGTATCCAAAAATAAAATTGCTTCAATACCTGATGGCGTTGAAGACTTGTATGTTACAGAATTGAATGCAAACCAAAACCAATTGACTAAAATTTCTAAAAACATTGCTCAGTGCCCACGTTTAAAAACTTTAAGGATAGAAGAAAATTGTTTAAATTTATCAGCAATTCACCAAGAAATTCTAACAGATTCGAACATATCTGTTCTTGCTGTGGAAGGAAATTTATTTGATTCTAAGAGTTTTGCAGAACTTGAAGGTTTTGATGGTTACATGAAACGATATACAGCTATGAAGAAAAAGATGTTTTGATTCAGTGTTAAAAAAATTTCCCCACAAATACAATTCACATGAGAACATTTCTTAAATATTGAGTGTTGTTTCCTCTTTCATTGGTATTTTTTGTAAAATGTGCAATACTACTATCGTATCAAAAACTTTTAAGATATTCTATATTGTGCAAAAATGCTTTGGTGTGAACACTGCAAGTTGATATTTTTATAAGTATGTTGTATACATTTCATCGTGGGGTGGCCTAAGAAAAAAAATCATTTAAAAACATTGCTACTTTTTGTTATTATAAATTATGCTAAATGCTTTTGTAGCAAAAATCGGTGTGTTAAACATTACTTTTATTGTACCTGTACTACAGAACACTCAATTTATTACATTTATATACATTGCATTTACTCTTAATTATACCCTACATTTTTGATTTGTTTGAAATTGGGAAGTTACAAATCCTAATATGTATAAATACATGTATATAAGAAGTATATTTTGATTGTTATTGTTACCTTTTTCTTGTAAATGCAAGTTTTTATCATATTTACCTCTGTGAATTTCCTTGGTTTAATAAAGCAATCCAAGAAACACAACGTGTGTCACTGAAGATTCGAAAGAATTTATACCAAAAGTAATGATCTACATGGCAATGTTGTTGATTGATGAGCATTTCCCAACATTATCCTTGTGTAAATTTCTTTCGAAAATGTTAGAAATATTTATTCAAAACTTGAAGGACCTTACGCGCTACTACACCGGATATACTTACCAGTACTCAAGTGTGGTTCATAAATAATGTTACAAGATATTTTTGTACAAATTGTATGTGACAACTAAATATGTTATGATTAAAATAAAATTTTATTTCATGCATTTAATTACAACAAAATATATTTTTAATTTCAATATATGTATACTTCTTGCGTTTCCAGTAGTGGGACGTCTTCTCAAAGATGGTGCAAGTTAGTTTTTGAATTTCTTGTCGAATTTGTGCATTAACACTAGTTTCTTCCCTTAAAAAACATTTTGTAGAGTAAATAATACACATCAAGTAGCGTGTTTTAACGGTTAAATAGATATCTGAGCCAATAAATGGGTATGAATGAGGAATTGCGGTCAGCTTCCTTAGAAGACCGTTTTGCCGCGCGTCGCGCTCGTACACTCAGTTTTTTATGCTTAACATGGCTGACATTCAATAATATGAAGAGAGGAGCCTGTGCTAATGAATCTCGTTATTTAATGGTAAATTATGACAATTTGTGATCTGCGTGTATACAGAACTAAAGGTCGTTGTTTACTTGTTATAACTGGACACGTTGGAATCCATTCAGAAGTAGTTTTTATTCATAGAATCGTGGGTGTGGGAATAGTTTTGTTCTTGGCAAATGAAAATGAGAGCCTGAGAGGTAACGAAGAATGTAGGACTGAAGTAGAACGTAAAGTTTTGGAACGAATATTTTACTACACACAGTGATGAAATGGTGAAACGTTGAAAAGGATTGTGTAGTTAGAAAAGTACTTTTGTTTGAATAGCCGAAGTTCACTGTCCGGAGATGAAAATCATGAAGGTTAAGTTTAGCGAAGTAGTAGGCCGTGACAAACGGTGAAGCACTCTAATTCGAAGCTGTTAGAAATGCGAAATGTATTTGTGGAATTGTAGTGGTCATAATTTAAGCAGAATGAGTATGGGCAAAACTTATTGAATGGTGCTGTAAAGAAACTAATTCACATTACTTGATTAGTATGTTGTAAAAATGTTGGTACACAAGTTGTTCTAAGTTTCTATTTCTGTTTTTTATCTTCACTTTAAGGGGCAAATACATTTTTCAATGCACTTGGCAATATTATTTAAATATGTTGTGGGCTAATTGGTTCTTTTCATCTTGCATAGATTCTCTGTATACGTTCAATTTACTTCCAAGTATGATTTAGGTGAACAAATTCGTTTAATAATTTTTCGTCAAAAAAAATAAAAAAATAAGCGAAGTTTGATATGAGAAATCATTAAGTTTTAATTGTATGTACTCAGCTGTGACCTTTCATATTGCAGGTTTGAGTCCGGCCAGTCGTTAGTGATTGGCCTGGAGTGATTGAATAATTGTGGTGGGATAGTTTCTGAGTGTACAACATAAGCAATTTTTTTTCACAATGTCCAATACAAGTGGAAGGTTAAAAAAGGTAGGATTGTGTTTTTTTTAGCTAGGGAATTGTTATAGTTGAATGCATCTGAACTAATTAATATTTCTAACAGGAACAAAATGACGAAAGTCCCATTGCTCCTGACAGTACAACCAAGGAGCGTAGTGGCTTTAGTGAGGGGGAGGATGTTCTTCTTCAACACAAAGATGGTCGTTACTATCTAGGAACAATAGTTGAAGTAATTCTACTTTTCATATTAAATTGAAATTTAATGTTTGCTGTACTTGTATATGAAGTTTTAAAAATAAGCACAATTAATTGCCCCTAACAGCATTTAATTTAATGAAGTTACTTGCTTCTCTTTAGGTTGATTTAGTAACAGAAAAATGCTTAGTCAAATTTGGGGACAACACAGAAAGTTGGTCCTCTTTCAAGGACCTCACAAAACTTTCATCTCCTGACACAAACAAATTGTGTGTAATTTGTAAGAAATCACAACCTAAAACTGACAATGAAATTGTTGTGTGTGATAAGTGTGGACGTGGCTATCATCAACTTTGTCATCAAGTAAGTAACTATTTTGAGTTTTTCTGTTAAAAGTTAAGATGTAGCTTCTAACATTTGGATTTATCTCTGTAGCCTCACATTTCAAAAGACTGTACTGAGCCAGATGCACATTGGTTGTGCAAGCGATGCCTTGAAAATATGCCAGGTAAAACCAGAGAGAGCAAGATTGCAAAAAAGGATACAATTAGAAAGATATGTACTCCCACAGTTTTGCCAAAACCACAATCACCAGGGTCACCAGTGGACAACAAGAGTAAATTGCCATATGATGTAAGTTTTGGGAAATATTGGAGAGAGTGAAAAATGTCCACTTATTTGAAATACACATTTCTTAATATAAATATACCAGAACTTGGTTGTTTGTTAATAATGTCTGGGTGCCCTTTTTGGGGGAAGTGAAAACTAATATTCATCCTTTTGATCATGCAGGCAGATTCGTTGACTTGGGATGCTACACATCGGATGAATATGGAACAGCGGTATTGTTACTGTGGAAAACATGGTGAATGGTTCATGCAAATGCTTCAGTGTGGTAGATGTAAGCAGTGGTTTCATGAAAAATGTATGCGTTGCCTTCAATATCCATTGTTTTGTGGTGACAGGTGAATGTTATTTATTTTACAGTTTTGATTTGTATCATATGCATTGTGTTCTTTCTTTGCAATTTTGTCTTTTGTTCAAATGTTGAATCTTACTACACCTCTCATGCCTTTAGGTTTTATGTATTCGTCTGCTCGTTATGTAATCATGGAAAGGAGTTTGTTCGTCGTTTAGAAATGAAGTGGGTAGATATCATACATCTTACGCTATTTAATCTTACTGTGTATAATGCAAAAAAATATTATGATTTGGACACAACTATCATTCCATTTATAAATAACAATTGGGATGCCTTCCAGCTTCCACCAAAGGTACTAAATTTTAAGGTTTTTAGAATAAGCAAATAATAAACTTTAGGCATAAATTTACTGTGGTGTACACGGGCATTACTTGACCGTATAATTTTCAGATTCTGGACGTGAGTGTTGAAGAACGAAGAGACAATATTTTATCAGTATTGACCAACAATAGAAATAGGTGAGGGGGACAAATCATTTCATCCTTGTAGATATGTTTTTTGTGCAAGGCCAATGTTATGTGTAACATTCTTCAATCTGTTGAATGCAGTACTTTTTGTGTGCTCTATTGACCTTGAATTGATGGAAATGGGAGAATTGGTGCTTTGAACCAAAATTTTTGGTGTTAGTGAGTATTGTAATTGCTAGCTATTACCTTTGTGAATGGCTTTCCTTTCTAGGTTTAAGTGTGGTCGTGAAATAAAAAAACGCACGACAATTTGGGGTCTTAGGGTTCGAGTGCCACCACCTGCCCCATCCTTTACACTGCCTAGCGTTCGCCCAGTGAGTGATGCTGTTCTGAAGGAACGATGGATTGGAAATAAACGCTTGAAGTTCTTACCTCCATCACTCAGGTAAGTTTTTGCTTTTCATCCAGCGTTGTAGTGTTGGCACATATGTCTTAAATTCTTCAATTATACATAATAGTGTTTTGACTGGTTTCCTTTGATTTTATGTTATTATTCCTACTATTGGGTAATTAAATCTTTTGTGTATTCTCATTTGTTTTAATGAAACAAGTTTGATAAACATAATGTTTTATTTGTCTCTAATAATATAGTGATTGTTGAAAATCAGTGCTTTGTTGTCTTTTTTATATATAGACAAATACGTCATACATCAATGACAAAGGTGTATCAGGGAAAGTATGTGATATGACTTAGCCTGCAGAAAACTAGCAGGGTTCCAATATAAAACAAACCTTCTTGTATTATATATAAATTGCATGAAATAATAATAATATTTATTATTATTATTATTTAATGACAATTTTAAACCATTAATACTTAAGTTATCTTGCACAAAACGTCCTTATACTGAAATGGTATACACCAAGTCCATATAAGAGATGTCCTCTGAAACAGCGTTTGTGGCCAATAATGTGTTAAGCAATGCTGAATGATGTTCTCAGGGTTAGCAATTTCTGTAAAAACAAGGGAAAATCTGGAAAACACTGGGAAATAGAAATGCAGAAATTATATAGGGGAAATGTAGGAAAATGAAGTCATGTCAAAAAATTTGATTTGACTTGAACTTGAACCCTGGTGGAAGGAAAGACTGGTGAATGTATGTGATGCAGAAATGGTCCTTTAAAATGCCATGTATAGTTATAAGTACATTGTGTCTTTGTAAACAAGAGAGCAACAAAAATTACCACTTCTGAAGAGGTGATAATGAAAAAGTTTGCATATTTCTTCTCTGATTTGTTTGTGAGCATTCTCATTGGATCCAACATTCCAAATCTTCAAATTTCTAGTTTACATCTTATGTTGAAATATAATTTCAAAATATTATAATATTATTTTTACTAAATATCATCCCATAGTCTGCAAAATCATTTAGTCATCTTTTTTACTTAAGTCACCATTAATTTTGCAAAATTCCCTTAATTTCAAACAATTAAAATTAATTTTCTGCTGTGGAAATTGTTTTCATTGATCCAATAGGCTTATAAAAACATTTTTTTGAACAATTTTTTCCAAAATAGTTATTTTCAAATTAAGTGCTCAAGGATAGTTTTTATTATGGTCTAGAGTGAGTTTTTTGCATGAAAAAAAGCACTCACTTCACTTATCAAATCTGAACATTTTTTTTACAACTCTACAAAAATTACAATATTTGGAAAAGTTTGTATTTATTTTATATGGGATTGAGGTGTTCGATATCTCAGAGAATGGCAGTAAACTATATAGGGCCAAGAATGCCGAAATCTTACTAAGAGAAAGGTTTGTTATATAAAATATAACTTCGTTATATTTCCGTGTGTGAAGTACTTTTTTTCCCGGTAACAAGGCAGCTTTCTTGGCAACTCTTGGTAATCTCTTTTAATGGATGACCTACTTCATGTGCAGATGGCAATGCGCAAATTCACCTGTTATATTCGGTTGGAGAAAAGTAAGTTTTTTAATATTTGGAATTTCAATTTTTCTACATGGTATTATGGGAATAATTTATTAAAAAATTTCAAAATTAAAAGGTATTGAAAATTTAAACTGAATTAAACAACTAAAAGAAATGTTTTGGGGTAGAAGAGTTGATGAGGGTTTTCAGTTGGAAAAGATTAGAACAGTTCTTGTCTTAATCATTTTCAAGACTTATTACTTAATTTTGCTTTGAGGCACTTTTGAATATCTAATTTGGCTATGAAGATGCTTTTAAGATGAAGAAATCTCTTAAGAGCTCTTAATTTTCTATTGTGAAATGTTGATATGTGATGTATTCCAAAAAACATTTTATTCTTTTTTTTTTTTGGCATTCATAATAGTTCAATGAATGAACTAGTGAGGCTTCTGAAATATAGAAAAGCAATAGTGTATTTAATACGAATATTTGTGAAAAAATTTTGGTTGAGCATTTGTAAAATGCACCATTTTGAGTTAATTTATACTCAAATCTGTTTTTCAAATACAAGGAAATTTTGAGAAATTTTATAAAAGTCGAGAACAACAGCTAAAAAAGAGTAATGATGAAGATAATGACAATAATTTGTTTGCATAATACAATATGAGCAATGTATGACAAGTCAAAATACTGTATGGTATTCCCTTATACAAAACTTCTGAATTTATTTAAAAATTATATATAACAGCAAGGTACAATTAGCATTGAACAACAATACAACAAAGATATAGGGGCCGTGCAAGGAGACTAAAATAAAGATAATTTTAAGAAAACCAATTTAATTTACCATTGGCATTTGTGCCTCTAATTGCAATAATCCATGAAGTACATATATGATGTAAATATGAGCCAAGTCTGTAGGTAGGTAGTATTTGGTCTGTAGTATTTGAAAATTTTACATATGTGTAATTTTGATAAATAAAATGTTTTAACCGAAATAGCGCTTAGGTCATGTTATTTAGTGCATTGTGCTCTACCTCACTTAAAGTTTAATGAAAAAATTGGGGTCCATTTTTTGCAAGTCTTGTTTACAAAATTTTGGACATTTTTCTAAATTTGATTTAAAGTTATGGGAGCTATTAAGTTTTTTTATGTCCAGGAAATGGTTTAAAGGTTAATATTGTAGAAAGAAAGAAACCTCAAGTTAAAAAATGAAGCTGTATGGCAGGTCAAAGGAGGGGTAAGGAAATAACCAACAAACTTTTGCGATGTTAAAATGGTTCAAATTCAGAGTTTTTAATGAAAATAGGACTTTATATGCAAGGTGTACGTACATCTATTTGGGCAAAAAAGAACCATCAAAATTTTGACATTTATTGTTTTGCAGCATTACATGACTTACTCTGCAGTGTGTATATGAGAAAGTAATTGATGGTATTTCCAGTTTTTTATACAACCTTACTTTTGTTATGCAATAAATGTTAATCACTATTTGCAAGAGTTTATTTTGAATACAATTATTATTGTCATCTTAAAGAAATTATGGTTAAACTTGCTTTGAAAAAATGTAATTATATTTTTATCCTAGTCGTTAACGTTAGAAACCTTTTACCAAACAAAAACAGATGAATGAGAGTGACAGCAGATGACATGGAAGGTAAATGGAGATGGTAGTAAGTTATGAATCTCTGTACCTAAAATGTTTTTTTTTTTTTTAAGGAAGTGACGGTGAAGAATCACTCTTCTTGTAGCTTTAAAGTTCAAAGCTTTAAAGTAATGTGATAAAAATTATTTTCATGATTTCATCTAAGTCAACATCTAAAAGTTTAATTTTTGATACTTTTTGTAATATTTTCCATTCCATTTCTGTGTTAAATATTTGTCAGGGTGGAAAACAATGAGTCATGAAAATATCAGAAATTTGTTTTGCTTTGAATTTTTAATTTGTTATGCTCTTTCCAAACAGACCGAACATTTCTCAAGTGTTTTACACTCAAAATTATTTGGAAAAAACATTTTTCACAATTATTTAAAGTCCTCTCCAAAATTTTGTTAAAAAACGATATTTGTAATTGTAAAAAAGTACACATGCTGGAGTAGTCATGAAGTTGCCAGCACTAATCATACGGTTGTCAGGTTTTACTGAACTATGCTGAAGGAGGAAGAAACCAAACAGTTTGCACGTCGTGTCTAAGAAAGCGGAGAGTGCATCAAATAAACTGATTTCAAAAATGTTTCTGTTCACTACAAAATTACAAAATACAATTTGTTAATTGGGTATCCTTTTCAGTTCCAAGAATACATCAACAATACAAAATTAAAATCAATTTTGAATTTTACTTATTAAAGATCATAAATTTTGGAAAATTCGAATAACAAATTTGGAAAAAAATTGTCCCTCACAGCATGCTTTTGATGATATAACTTACACTTTAGATCATTAAATGAAATTTGTAATCGTAATGTATATCTGTATATTGTTAAACACTCCTTTCCGAGAAATTCCTTTGTAAAACTATCCTTAGGTATCATAGATTAAACCTGTTCCTGGGGAAATATTAAAAGCATAGAATGAAGAGAATTATTCAAGCAAGTAGATAATACTATGAAACCTGTATATTTCAGGAAAACAATCTATTTAATTTAGCAAAGTATTTTCTTAATATTTTTTACCAAAGGCACTTGGTCCACTACTTCATTACCACTTCTCAAATCTTCCACCAGTGAATTTTGAAGAATTGATGTAATCAGGTCATCATTTGGGCTTTGAAACCAGTTGAGAATCATTTTTGAGTAATCTTAAATCAGTGAATAAAAGCACCTATGCAAACCTAATTATATATTTCAAAAAAGAAATTTATTTTTATTCCAAGTCATAATTAAATTTGAACCAGAAAATTTGATCATACAAATGCATCACTAAATTGTAACAAATATTTTAGGTGAATCGATGTATTTAAACCATTACATTATATTACAAATAATTTATTTCTGCTTTTATGAAACAAATTTTTATTTTTGATCATTAAAATAAGAATTAACTAGTGGTGCTACAGAATGGCACAGACTTTCTTGTACAACTTAGTTTTCTTATCTCTTCAGTGTGGGCTACTTTTCAGTTTTGCCCCACAGTCTTTCTAGACAAGTTTTCAGATCCCTAACCATAGAATTGAAGTAAGAGTTTAAGAATATTACAGAAGAGTAAAACCTGGTCTTATTTGAAATGTTTGTTGAAAAGTTGGGAGATTTTAAGAGAATATCATTAGAGCGTCAGTAAATGCGTGATATTGAGTTCATTTTCAAGAAAAATGTTTTGAGTTTTTGGGAAACTTCATTGGGAATCCTTTGAAGCACTCTACTCACAAATGCAATTATCTATACAGGGGTCATCCATTAATTATGTTATGCTAAATATGGGGGGGGGGGTGAAGCAATGTTACGCTGCATTAATTGTAGGTAGTTTGTTAATATAGTGTTATTAAACATCGATTCCCCCTCCCTCAATATGTGCTGA